CCTCTCAAATGGCAAAGGATGTTAAAATTTAAAAATGGCTTCTACCATCTTTTGCCTGCCAATACTTGGTGTAAAGAAGCATCCTTCATCTCCAGTTTATACAACTTTGGATGCTACTACCAAAGGTACTGCCACTGAAGTGAACATGAGTGATTGGGCCTTGTGACATCAGGAGGCAAGGTTATTTGGGGAAAATATGCCCAGGTTACCAACAATCCTGAAAATGATGGATGTATATATAAATGCAGTCTTACTGGTCTGACAGGTGTTTCATACAAGAAACTCCTTGTAATTATTGAAGACTACACACCAATCAGGAAAACACCTTTACTATGATGTTTCTGAGTACTTCCAAACAGGTTACATGTCTGTCATCATTAAGAGAACTATTTATTTTATTGTAAAGAACATTAAAATGGCCCAGCTGTACAAAAAAGAAAAGAAAAAGGCTTCTAAGCCAAGATCAAAGAGAAAGCAGAGAAGAGCTTATCTCTAAGAGCTCTGTGGGCTTTTATCTAATGGAGTGAACTTCAATAAGATACATGGGAGGCCGTGTGATCTTGGAGAATTACAGCAGAAACATTGATAGCTTATACTTAAAGGATACAAAATGAAACAAAGCCATTGGACTCCCAAAATTGCACTGACCAGAAGTATGTTGAGAAAACTATTCAGCTGCAGAGATGTGCACCCTTTCATGACAAAGGGAGCGTGATGCAGAGGGCAGAACCAGGTGCCCAGAGGGAAAAGCCAAGAAACATGGAGAATTACTCCTGAGGTTGAGGTAATAGAGAAAGTAAGCCTAACATGAGAGAGAGCGGGAGAGGTGGCCAGAGTGGGATCCTAGAAACTGAGATTATAGAAACATGCTATCGGTAATGACAAGGTCTAGAGTATATCCATGAGCATGGGTGAACTAGGTAGAGTGAAAAGAAAAAAAAAAGAATAGTGAAAATAAACATTCAAGAAATTGATCATCCATGCGGATATTGAAATCACCAAGAATGTTGACAAAAATAATAGTGAAGAGACAAAGTAAACTAGGCATTACCAGTTACAAAAATCCAGATTCCCTAGATGACCCTGGCTTATTCATCCACATTGATTTCTCATCATTCCCCACCTTCCCAACCCATCCACACAACTTTTCAAGTCCTCAAATGTCTGTATGTGACTATAGGCCTTTGCAAATGCTCTTTACTCTATCTGGCTCATCGTTCTGTGCCCCTCATAATCTAGGCAGATACTTCTAGGATATGATCCACAAGCCCCTGTGTTTATTATATCACAGTATTTTCAAATTCTGTTGTTCTGTTCTTTGTCTTTACCATGAGATCCAGGAGGGCAAGGGCTGAGTCTCAGTCATTTACCATTGTTCCCCACACTCGACTCAGTGCCTGGTATACACAGTAGGCACCTCATGAAGGAAAACGAGGATTTCTTTCTTAGGTCTAAGATGAAATGTCTAAAGCAGTTCCAAAACAGTGCATTTCTATGGTCTCTCCTTTGGGTCCTCTGACAAACAATATCAGAGCCCAAATAATGCTTCCTTTTAAGGGAAATATTTATAGGGCTTTAAATCCCTTATAAACATTAGAGCTTAGCTCCTTTTAAAAAATTGAGTTTTTGATCACTATCCAAACTATTTAGATCATGGTAAGAATGTACTACATTGCAAAAGAATTCGTTTCTCTGAGCTAAAATCTATTTCATTCAATAAAGCAGGAAACTTTCTGCCCCAAACTTCAAATATTTCTTCATCTACCACAGTAATTTCTTTTTTCTCTCAACAGAAGTTGAGGCGAACTTCCGTCAGTTTAAGACCAACCCTCTATCTGTGCTCTTTTTCTGGAACTTGCCTATTCAACTATTCCCTCTCTAACACATATCTTCAATAGGTCCTCGTCTATCACATTTTCAACTATTCTCTCTATACTGGGTCATTTTCCATAGACTAGAACCAAGCTCATTCTTCCCCATCCTTTAAACGTCCACCCTTGACCCTGCATTACCTGGATTCCTCTACCTTCCCTGCTTTACAACCTTAGCTAAGCTTTCTGGACCTCTAGAGATTTATAGTTCAGTCACTTCTGGTTGTAGGCATTTATCTAGGTTTCCTGGCTACCCAGCATTTGAATAGGAAATCTATCATTTTGTAATGCTGAAACACTGGCAGCTAGGGCACATCGCACCAATCAGATACTCCCACTTGGGATGCTGGCCTTAATGAGAATTGCACAAAGAAGCAGGGAGTAGCAGGGGCTTCTAGATTCATCAGTGGTGGCATCTATTGATGAGCCTTCAGATGTGGAAATTATGATCACAGAGACACTCAATGTCCAGATGTTACAGCAATAGCATCCTATCTGGGCTACCACCAGGGTTCAACATAAGTTATAAATATTAACTACAGCCTGTTAATGAGTACAAAAATGAAGATGATGTCAGTTAAGCACATTTTCTTCCTTTTTTTGTATATATTAACTGTATTTTGTATATGTAGTATACAAAATATTTGCATATATTAACATGTTTTTATTTGTATATATTAACTAATTTCCTCTCAATCGCCTCCTCCTTATTAATTTCCATAAGAATTCTTGGTGGCGTTAATTTTACAATTTAGTATTTAGTTTCCAGAATACTCATTCAGGTGTGGCTATGTGCCAACTGTAAGGAGCTATATTAATATTGGCCAGATCAGTATCGTAAATGTTGTCCAGAAGTGGATACAATGACAACTGGTACATAGCATCTCCTCATTTTGGTATCTCCTTTTGTTCAAAGTATAGTTGCATCTTATTAAGTGAAAGCATGAAGCTATAGGGAAGTCATAGTTCAAGTATGTGTAAAAGGTATGTATGGATGCTAAGTAGCCAACAGAGTGAATTATGCTGGTGATTAAGTTCTTGTCCCTCACCTTTGAGAGACGTGCTGCTACTGGAACTCTGCAAACCTCCTGAATTCCTGTTAAATTCTACCTATAAGAAGACTATGAGGCTGATGGAGGAACAAGGGAGTTGATCCTAAATGTTTGTTTTGTTTTGTTTTTGCTTTTATATTAGTTTCAGGTGTACAGCATAGTGGTCAAACATTTATATAATTTACGAAGTTATCCCCCTGATTACTCTAGTACTGACTTGGCCTTATACATAGCCATTACAGTATTAGATACTAAATGTTTTGCTTCCTATTCATCACTGTAGCAAAGGCTCTTCTCCTGGATAGCTACAGGTGGTTGCAGTACCCAGGGTCTTTTTGGTTTTCTTCCCACATTCTCAGAACCAACCACAGTATGCCTCCTCAGATCCCACAGCCCAAGGCCTCTGGCATCCCCTCCTCAAATACATACATTCCAGCTCTGCAGAGTCGCGCCATCAAGTACCTGAAGAACCAGTACCAACTCTCCAGAAGTCACCTCTTCAGGATCCTCCCTCAAGCTTCCCTTCGTCCTGGCTAACTCTCTTTCCACTCTCTGAACCAGCTCTGGCCAGTCTCCATTACTTCCACATTGTCAAATTAACAGATATTATTCAGACCTTATTATACCTTTCTGTTCTAACAAAATTAACCACTCACTAGGCCCACCTTTAGACAATATTATTTTTTTATCAACAATTTTTGGCTCATTAATGTATTTCTGGAGGGTAAACTGACAAAATGTTTTAGAAAGCATTTTAGCAATATTGATTCAACAAATAATTTTTAAGCATTTGTGGGAATATTTCCTATGAGTTAATATTTAGAGTTAGGAATGCTATTAAGCATATTAAGTGTTGTGTGTGTACATTTAGTAAATGGTAGAACCAGGTAGTCTGACTCTAAAGTTTCCAGCTAATGCTGACCTACTTCTTAATACCACCGCCCACATATTTTAGCTCTTATTCATCTAAAGATACAACTCAGCTACCTTCTTCCTTAGGAGAACTTTGTACCTCTCTTCTCTTTCCAGCTCTACTAGATATCCCCATCTAAGGCTTCCTCGCCAATCTTATGCTCCCATAGCTTCATATGCCTACCAAATACATATCAGTAACCACTAAAACTGCAACTCTATGCATACCTGTCCCAGCCACTACCCTGTGAGCACTTCAAGGGCAGAAATCAAAACTATTATTTTTTTGATGGTTTAAAATTTCTTTTTAAATTGTTTTTATTATGGTAAAATAGACATAACAAAATTTACTGTTTTCGGTGTATAGTTCAGTGACTTTAAATACATTCACATCGTTGGGTACTCATCATTCAACTTCAGAACTTTTTTCATCTTCTCAGAATGAAACTCTGTACACGTTTAAGAACTTCCCATCAGCCCTACCCCTAGACAGAAATCATTCTGCTTTCTGTCTCTATTCATCTTTATACGGAAAGTTTCTAGCACATCATCTCATAATGGTATGATCTAACTAACTGAAGGAGGCGAGTATCTTTCTCCTTAAGCATCAAATAAAAGAACAAATGAGAAAGAATTTTAAAGAGTTAAAATTCACATAGAAATGGTATACATTAACACTGGAGTTATTGAAAAACTTGAATGCTGTATTAGCTGTTAGAATTATAATTGTATGGCTATTTGAAACCACCATCTTGGCTCTCTATCCAGTACAAATAAATATTAAGCATCTATATTTTTAAGATAATAAAAAATCAAATATGAGAAAAAAAATCTACCTGAAAGAGAAATAGAAAACAAATTTTCCCCTCCTCACTCAAATATCTAAGACCCCTGAATTGAGTTCACATTTTTTTGGAATATATGCCCAGTCATATTTGTAATGTCTTGCTACCTGAAGCAAACAAGCAGACACTTATTATAAGGAATATTAAAGGAAATTATTAAGGTGAAAGAATATGATACCAAAACTCCTAGAAATTTACAGAGATATCAAAGGAAACGTAAGAATAGGAGAGGTTTCACAACACACTTCTGTATATGAAAGTTCTTGCATTAAAAAAAAATGTGTCATAGAAATGCCCAAATTAATTTATTTGGTACTTACAGAACATATAAAAGATGGACCTTAAGGTCATAATTCTTGACAGAATTCTTAAATAATGATTCCATGTAACAGATGAATAATTTCAAGTCCTCTTTCATCCAGCACTGTATGTTCCAGTTTGCCCCTGAATTAAAAATAAGCTACATTAAATCTAAAAAACATTCTGAACAACTCAGTGAAAGAGAAGAGCTAAATTAAATTTACCAGTGTTCTGATATAACTTCCATTGCCCATTCTAATAGAAAAAAACAGGTTCTACCTAGTGGTATGTGTCTGCCCAAGTCATTCAGTCCCTTTGGCCTTCAGTTTCCTTTTTTGCACAGTAAGAGAATGTGATTCAATTATTGCTTCTCAAACTTTTTTATCCTGAACCACTTAAGCAAGACAAATCTTCAAAACTCATGCAGCTCAGTTCTTGCTCATTTTTCAGGAAAAAAGAGAATATTAAATATCAAAGAATAAGCAGATTGGGAGCAGTATTTATATGTCTACTTGAACAATAAAGGCACCATTAGAAATACGATGTATGTCTTAAATTCTTATTATTGTAATTTTACATGGCTCTAAATATAACTGATAAAAGTTTATTTTACTGCACACTGAAAAATTGACCTGATAACAAGAGATAAACTATTGGTGATTTGTAATTTAGAAAGCTAAGAATAGCAACAACTGAAAAGCATGAGTAACCTCAGACAAGACTAAAACTATCTTAAGGAAACACTAACATATTTCTCCAAACCTGAAGGATTTCTAGCTAGGAAGGCTTTTGCAGCACTCTGGAGCACTATGAAGTAAACAGCCTACTTGGCAGAATAATAAATGAAAATTCTCAGTAACCACCACTTAAACTAGTAATTTTAGTTATAAAAACTTAAACTCACTTAGAAGTAACTAGTTATTAACCTTTATTAAGGGAGTGCTACAGGCATCTAGTGGTAGAAGCCAGGGATGCTGCTAAATATCCTACAAGGCACAGAACCATCCCCTCCCCCCATAACCTTCTTCCAGAAGGCTTGGAAATAATTTTGGTGTTTAGACTGCAGATTCAGCATTATTAACTACACTAGTTACATTCAGTATGCATTATATTTAAACAACAGAAACTCCTGATTTAAAGTATATATTGGTTACATAGTGATTCTTTGCTTGAACAAATATTATTCACAAATGCTTTAAAATTTAACTAATTTAGCAGTGGAATACTTTAAATATTTTATCTATTTAAAAAATAAGGTGTGCTTTTTCTATTTTAAAGCAAATTTAGAAGACCACAAGAAATGTATTTATAGGTAAAAAGAGTTCTTTTATTACATTTTTATTTTATTTTGGGGGATATAAAATAATTTGGGCCTTATTCATTTGGTCACATGAATGATATAAAATAATTTTATGTGTTAAGAATCCCATCCATAAGATATGTATTTTATACAGGTTTCAGAGAATGAAAACTTGTTCAATACAGTTAAATAACAGCTAAATCTTGGAACATTAAAATACCTACCTATTTGTTGAAAAACTAAAGAATTTACTGTTGAAACAAATGCCTTCTCGTCAATGTTGTCTGCATGTACAGAGCAGTTTTTATCTTGTTCACTCCAAAAGCAACAAGGGAAAGTTGTTTTGAATGATAAGTTAGAAAAGTAGGTACCACTTGAATTAAATTTAGCTTCGACAACTGCCTCATAATGTCCATTCAAATTTGAAGTATTCTTTGAGATTCCAGCAGGCAAGAGGAAGTCATATGTTGTATTTGGTGGCATGCAAAACAATTTAAATCTCCAGGGAGTAATTGGATATGCCAAGTTAAACGCCGTTATCACATAAATAAATTCTGTTAGGACATTCAAAAGACACATAAAAAAACGATTTATCATTTTGACCAAAACATAAATAAGAAGTACCTAAGATTAAACCATCCAGCGCTCAGTAGTAATTATTTAACTTTTCAAGTGTTCGCTCAGCGCCTAATGCACAGCTTTGCACTTCCACTGTACACCACATTGTACTTGAGAGGGTGTGTTTATTTATAGAGATAACTTCACTCTCTAGCATCTCTTTTTGGACATTTATGTTTCCTTTTCTTCACGAATCTAACATATTTATGTTGTTATGAAAGGAAATTATAGCTAAATATTTCAATTGCCTTTTCTAAAAAAATATTCTAATGAACTCTAGCACAAATTAGAAATATCTGGATGTGCAATTACATAAACAAATATTAAAGTGCTGTTTTAATATTTCTTACAGAGAACAATATCAAAATGTTAACAATACTTTCACTGAAAACTTTTAGAAAGGGTTTGTTTTCAAAGTCAGGACAGCTGGATGATCTCCTGACTCTGCTCATAATCCTCCAGATATATGACATCACATAAGACATGCCCTTAATACACTCTTAAAGAATTGATGAAGCGACACACTTCTTACAGGAGACTTCTATTGCCGATTAAAGATAATTATCATGTTTTAGACATATAAAAATTAAGAACAATTACATAATCCTGTGCAAAAAATCCTCAAAAGTGATACTTGTTTTTTAATAACTAATTGTTTGAAAACAAAATAAATAATTATCTCTTTGACAAGTTATCCAAATAATCCAACAGTTGTATTACTTCCTATATAAACTAGTATAGAATCAAAATTCTGAGAATTTTGTATGGGTTTATATGGAATAAATATTTAAAAGATTAAGGTTAATATAAAATTTTAAGAAAATAAAAAAAAATTTTAATCATTTCACAACTTTAAATTATAAAAATAATACATGTAAAATATTTAAATAATATATAAGTAATGACCATTAACAGTTTGGTTTCTAAACCTTTCTATAATATAAATTAAGATAAATAAGTATCCTATGCAAAAATTAAGGCAAAAAATGATTAACATGGCTGATATTATTTTGACCACAGTGATAACAATTAGCTACCATAACATCACCAGAAGTAAATCTTCATTGCAATTGTGTTCCTTTGTAGTTAAGTCTTTCTAACACATTTCCAAAATCAGACTATCTCAATGAAAAGAGAACAAGTTATTTCTTCAGTTTTACAAAACCATGAATATATTATGATACTAATTAAAAGTATTATATTTTCTAGCTGCACATGGAAGATTCAGTTGGCTGAACTAAAATTAACTTAAATTTCTCAAAGAAGTATTTGAAATTTAAAATGTAATAATGAACATGATCGACATGGCAACTATTGAATCAGTTTAATTAAAAGATGATTCTATTCTGTTTACATTCCTTTGCAAATAATATTTCTTTCCCTCCAAATGAACCCTAAACAGTAAGGAGTCCAGAATTTGCATCTGAAAACATGTTATCATGGTAACAATATCCCAGGAACTTTTCTGATTCACAAAACTAATCGAAACACAAACCACTTGGAAAGCCAATGTGAACATTTAAGTAGAGCCTAATAAAAATTAAGTAATGTAACAGAGAATGCTTGTTATCACTTTTTGATAGTGGCAGAGGTTTTGTTTTGTTTTATTTTAAAATGGTAGCATTAGAGTTATGCTGGGTATTTTCTGTAAATATAGAGATGGCTAAAACAAGAATGAACAGTATATACAATAAGAAAGACTTGTAGAGAAGCTAATAGGAGCACCGTTAGAGTCTGTAGCCAAGGAGATGCTCAGAACTAGTTGAACACACAAGTAATGTTTACTAGAACAAAAAAGGTTTTTATTAAAGATAGCCTTACTTTAATTTCAAAAACTTGAAACAATCAAAATTAGATGATTTCTTTTTTAATCAAAATAAAACCAGAATGCCATAAACAAGTATGAATAGTACGCTCAAAAGTCATCAGTAATGTATGACTAATTTCAAAGAGAAACTTGCTATGGTTCAGGGCAGTTAAAATCACAAGATATTAAAAGAACATCTGTAAGCTTTCTCTCGAGAATATTCCTACAAGAGAAACACTAGCATACATTTAATTCTGAAAGTATTCTGGTGTTGTTCAAGATGGAAATTTCCAATAATTTTATAACAATAATCCTTTATAACATGATATTTGTTATTGTTTACCGGAGTTATAATGAAAAATAGCATTTCAAGTGGCATCTACCTTCCATATGGGAATAAACCCATCATTTTTGTGTCACAGTCATTTATTTTAATTATTACCAAGTAAATTGTGCCTTGATACACAGAATTAAGTTTCGACTATCATCTTTTAAAAGAGTGAAATGCTAGATTTCTCTGACACCATCTTGTTCAAGCCTGCATTGTTTCCATGGCCTTCAGGCTAATAGTTTCTGCTTTGTTTTGCATATAAACATACTAATTATTACAGGAATTCTGCTTGCAGCTTGAGTTTTACAAAAACAGCTCTTTCCACTTTCCCTTCCCTTGATTTAAAAAAAAAAAAAAAATTCCTAACTCAACTTTCTTAAGACGAATTTGAAGATTAGACTTCCCTTTTCAGTGGGTGCCTTCTCTTATCAATAAACCTTTCTTTACTCTAAACTCTGACCTTTTAAGTTTTGGCCTTTCAAAGCATGGGGCACATGGACTTTGGACTGATAACAATCTGATGTATATACATTTGTAATTTAATAATGTTATGTTTGCTAAATAAAATTAAAACATTTAAGTATCATTGTATCTTGTTTCTAAGTATGTATAAGGGTGTTAATGTGTATATATAAATTATGTGCACTGTAAAAGAAAACAAAATTAAAAAGCAAATGATGGGCAGAGAGAAAAATTTGCAAAACATCATAAATTGTTAGGGTCCCTGATGGTTAACCTTAAGAGTTAACTTGTGGAGGCCCACAGGGTAATCAGAGATTTGGCCAAATATTAGTCTGAGTGTGTCTGTGAGGATGTTTCTGGATTAATACAATTTGAATCAGTAGACTAAGTAAAGCAGATTGCCCTCCCTTATGCAAATTTGCCTCTCTAATCAATTGAAGACCTGAAAAGAACAAAAACGCTGAGTTAAAAGGAACTCCTACTGCCTGACTGACATCAGACTTTTCCCTTCTTTGGCCTCAAACTGACATCAATCTTCTTGAGTCTCAAGCCTGACAGTGTTCAGAATAGAATTAATACCATCGGCTCTCCTGGGTTTTCAGTTTACCAAATACAGACCTTGGGACATCTCATCCTCCATATACTAAATCTTTTTATAATAAATCTTTTCCTAAATATTTATATTTATATATAGATAGATAGATAGATAGATGATAGATAGATAGATAGATAGATAGATAGATAGATAGATAGATATCCTATTGGTTCTGTTTCTGTGGAGAACCCTGACAAATACTAAAAAGCTAAATATCTATTACATTTTGGAAAATTTTTAAATCATTTAAGACTGATAAAATCCAACAAGAAAATGGTCAAAGTATATGGATTAGAAAATCACATAAGAAATATAAATAGTCAATAAACAGTACTAGACTTCATAAATAATCAAATAAATAAAACTAAATGAGATGCCATCTTTTGCTTATCTGACAGCAAAAAAATAAAAGAATGATAATATGAACCTTTGGCAGAAATGCAGTGGAATAGCATGCATATACTCATGTTTAGATGGCAAATGGTACAAAGCTCTGTGGAAAAGATTTCACAGTATCTATCAAATTAAAAAATGTACACACTATTCAACATAAAAAATCCCTCTGTAGGAATTAATCTACAGAAATATTCTTCCAAATATAGAAAGATATATGTATATGGATTTTAATGCAGCATCATTTGTTACAGAAAAAGAAATGTCTATCAATGGGGAATTGGTCAAATATATTAATAATTTAAGGTACATTCATACAGTTCATTGTCATGCAACCATTAAACAAATACATCAGTAAATACTGAAAAAAGCTGTCATGATAAATTGAAAAGCTGTCATGATAAATTGTTAAGTGGAAAAAGAAAAATGAAGAATATGTATAGACCAATTCTATTTTTGCAACTATAGATATGAATTGTGTGTGTGTGCGTGTGTGTGTGTATGTATGAGTGTATGTGTGTTATAGTTCTGGAAGGGCACACGTTAGTTTCTTTCCAAGAGTTGTCAATGGTGTTTATTTTCACACTGTTTTCAGAGTGTTAGGAAGAGTTTTCAGTTTCAAACGTATACTTTTGTTCAGTGAGCATGAACATGAGAATTCCTAACTGGAAACAGAGGAAATTCTGTTAGCCAATAAAGGGAATAGCATTCCAAGGACAAAGTCTCTACCTTATATATGGACATTTAAAACGCAAATAACTTACCCCAATGTAACAAAGCCACATAGAATTTTTTACAAGTCATCTTACTTCAGGGAAGTACACCTGAAAAACAATAAATCTAAAACAAGTAAACACACACAGAAAAACACACATACCCCCCCCCCAAAAAACACCCAGAAACCTGACATATATACAAGCTATCTGTGAAAAACATAAAAGGATTATAAATAAGTCTTCAAATTTTAAATATCTATAATACTCTAGATCGATATTAGAGAAGCATCTTACATTAAAGTACAACTATAAGTTTATTCCTGTGCACATGCTATTTTACATAATTAAAGCAAGCCACATACTTATATATTACATAATCAAAAAATCTTTCCTATGATTCTACAAAGCCAAGTGGTTATAACGTAGTAATGACCATATATTTATTTCCAATAAAAAGGAGGAAATTTCCCAATATGCTTTTGGAAACCTACTGTTTATTTGCAGATGAGGTTATATTCACACTGGAGAGTTACCAGAGTAATTCAAGGAAAGCTGGATGGCTGAATATATCCAAATGATAGAGTGACTTGAGACAAGCTTTCCCATGAATTCTACTCAATTTGAACCACATCATGAATAAAATTATTTGTGCTAGTATGTCATGAATTAGAATGCTAGTATTATTTTAATATATCAGGCTTATATTTGTAATAACACATAAAGACTTTTGATATTCCAAATTTTTTTATCTAAAATTAGGGATTCAGTTCACTATGTGTAAATTAATATGAGGTAAAAAGCCCTGAATCAGGTGTCAGGAGTTTTGGGTGCCAATCTAGGCTCTCTCACTAATCATCTGTAAGACATGGAACGTCAATACTCTAGACCCCAGGTTCCTCATCTACAAATCAGACTGGTGGACTGATGGTCTCTACAATTCCTTTTGGAGCTGCCCATAATCATGGGAGATTTTATTTAAAAATATTAGTCACATCTTCACCACAAAGAATATTATTAAATATTAAGTGAGAAACATGTCTCATAAGACATATCTGCGAATTTGATACCATGTGATTAGCAAACAAAAATATATTTCTTTAGTTCACAACTTAATGACTCATAGGAAGAAAATGGATGTGTATAAACATTGCGCAATCTGGTAAATTTGTTTTTTAGACTACCAGTTTTTCAGCAAAATTTGGGTTCTTTATACATCGACATCATAATGTTTCTTTAGGATTTCTAAAAATTGGTTCAGTTTAGAATCCTCATTAGCTAATCAGATGAAATGTGTGCAAATTCTTCCTAGTTTCTTATGCTACCTGTTTCTGATATAAATTTTTCAGAATTTATAAATAAACCCAAAAGCAAGTTTCATACTTAGGATGTGTCATACATACAACATATTGCTAGACTAAGCATTTTAAATGAACTGACTAGTAACTAGTCATTTAGTCCAATAATTGATTTGACTCGCTTTTTAAGTTAACTGAATATTATATGCTGAGTTAAGTGACAAAATAGATGAGTGATTTTTTCTTACATCAGACAACCATTCTTCTATTTAATGTTCCATGAAAAACATAAACTATTCTTAAGGCTTGAAATTCCACAGTCAGGTTTTGCTCTTATATAACAAAGAACCAATCACAAGTATGAAAAGGGCATAGACGCAACCTTGAAGAGAGTGTGAAAGGTGGAACCTTCCATAGACTAAAAGAGATAAATACCATATGCATTCTAAATTGCACCAGAAAGGAATCTAAGGAGGTTTACAAAAACACAAATAATACAGAAAAAAGGTGACAGAAAATTTTAAACTGTGAGGAAAAAAATTTGCAAAGTAGAAAATAATGGTAAGGTGACCAAAATAGTCTAATATACAAAACGGCATTAATTCAAATATACTTCTTAAGGGCGAGTTATTAATTTGCTTTAAGCTTTATCACAGTGAAATTGTTCAATTATAAATTCAGAGTACTTAAAACCAACTCTTTAAGGAAAATGTACAAATAATCCTAACATTAAGAATGGAAAGAAATTTTGCCTAATTTTTTAACAGGTAACATCCTCATGAACATCCTAACAGTAGCAGAATTTCAAGAGAATTTCAAAATTCAATAATTTCTCACCCCCACAATTACCAATACCCCATTCTAAGCCACCATGATCTCTTCCCTTGAAGATCAAAAGAGCCTCCTAACTGGTCTTCCTGCTGCAGTACTCACTCCTCAATTCAATCTATTCTGAATGCAGCCGTGAGAGTAGTCTTGTTAACACATAGGTCAGATCATGTCTCTCCTTCCCAAAACATGGCAGCACTCTTCTTTTCACTCAGAGTAAAAGCCCAAGTCCTGTTCAGCACTACAAGGTCCTAGACCACTGTTCCCCCTCTGACCTCATCAACCACTGTTCCCCGCTACGCTCAAGTCACCTTCTCAGAGGAGCCTTCCCTGACCAGCCTATCTAAAATTTTAATACCGTCCCCATCTAAACATGTCATATCTGCTGTTTTGCTTAATTTGTTTCTCGTTATTACTCAACACTAATGTGAATATGACCTGTTAATTTTCTTGTTTATTATCTCTCTCTACTAGAATGTAAACACCAGACCAAAGGATTTTTTGACTATTTCCTTTTCATCATTATATCCTTCACACATAGTAGGTACTCTATATATATTAACTGAATGCATGAGTGAATGGCAAGATATGACTCCTTCTTGAATTATTCTTAAAAATAGGCTGGTGGCATCACACCAAGACAAAATTGAATAAAAGCGATCTTTAAAAGAGGCTTTCCAATATCATCCAGGTTCAGCTCCTTGAGAATTTGGCTTAATACCAGAGAGAATTTCAGAATGGTTGTTCTAACCATTTTTGGATATGGACCTTGTTGAGAATTTGGTGAGAGCAATGTACCAACTGCCAGGAGGAGGCACATATACCCAAAATTAGGGCTATAATTTCAAAGGGTTAACCAACTCTCTGAAATTTACCTAAAACTCTCAGATTAAGAACTCCTGGCATAGATAAATAAATGGAGTGCTCATTCTTCAGGCAATCCTCCACAAGTATAGCTCCATGAATTGAGCCATTGATGGACAACAAGTTGAGGAGTTTGAGATAATACCGTCTAACATTCCTCTGGAATGTAGTCATTCTATGTTGATAGTTAAAAAGAGTGTCTTGTTGGAAATACTTGAAGAAATCTTTATAAAGTATACAAAGACTCATCCATAGTCTGATCTAAATGATGCATCCATGATACCTGGTGGTGCAGACAATAATTCAATTTGTATTATCACACCAAACACCATGTATTAAACACATCACTGACTTTTTAGTTATTACTATAAACTTTAAACAAAAGGAAAATAAAAATCTATATTCTACTAAATTATATTATGGATTTTCAGAAGAAAATCAGACTGTTTAACTTCTATCATAGAGAATTCTTTGTGTTATTTTTATATATAAAATTCTACTTAAATATGGAACAGAATAGTCTCAATCAGTGTTTGAATGAGTGATTGGAGAAAGAAAATTATTTACAACTTGCTCCAATGATCTCAAAAAGTCTCTAGGTTTGTAGAAAAGTTTATGAGTAAGAAAAGCCAGTCTGACAATTCTGTTGCCTTGATGAATGAACTCAATAAACTCCATCTGCCACTAATTTTTGCTTTTACCTTCTGCTGGGTAAGCTATCTATCTTTCACTTAAACAATAACATTTAACCATTTTATTTAAATATAAATTAAAAATATTATTTCTTCAAGAGTCAAAAATTTAACAAAATAAATATAGTCTGGTCTACTTCTAGTAACCTTGTCATATAAAGTATGTTTAATTTTATGTCTTCATTTAGGATAGAAATTAGTCATGTTATTCCCATCAAGTAACTGTTAAAGATTTAAATTATTTTTGAAATTTAAAAAATATATCATCCTCATCATCCTGACATAAGCATTTTTCACTTTGAGACATAATTTCAAGTATTTTAATTCATGATATGACTCTAATTGTGTGACCTTGTCACAAATAAACTCCTTGAAAATGCAGAGGGTTAAGCTATGATTAATAGACATAGCTGACATAAAGTTAACAAAATTGAGTCAGAATAGGCATCTTACTTACAAAGTAACTTAAAAATCTGTACATAAATCAATTCATTTAAATATTAACTGAATATTTGCTAAAGTGTAAGTTACCACACAAGGTGCTAGACATATATAAAAATTAACAAGAAATCATAATTTACTTTAAGAAGTAAAGAATCAAAATAAACAATCATACTTGCGATTGTTTATTTTATGACTTTTTAACATGTCAAAATACTATAATGCCAATACGAATAAAGTTACTTTGGGACTTCAGATTCAAGATGGCAACCTGAACAAGTAAATTAACTTTCTCTTCCTCCTTCATTTAGAATTACAGTAAAGTAAATCATTTCAACTCACTAGAACAGAGAGAATGAAAGGGTTGACAAGCAGCAAAAAGATTTAAACAAACTTCTGAAAGATGAAGCAAAGATTAATGAAGTAAAATGAAATAACTATCTAGGATATTTGGGGAAGGAACTTTCATCAATGAGGAAACAAATCTACTTGGCAAAATCCTGGAGAGGTTCTGAATGGTACAGGGCAGAAGGGTAATGATGTGTGGCTAAAAGAAGAGGACATTTTTGTCTATGTATGTAATATCTGACTTCTTCATCCTCTTATAGACACATCACGATGGCCAAATCTAGTTCCATCTAACTGGTAGAGGAGTGATTTACAAACAAATGAAAATAACTTTAGTTAAAGTAGAAAAAGAACTTATTAAAAGTACTTACAGAACCTCAGCAACAGCCAGATAACCTGACTAATAAAACACATAGCTGAGAAACACACCTAAAATCCCATGCAGACTTTTCTAAAAAAGACATCCTGCTACCCCACCAAGACACTGCATTAGTATAGGCTTGGCACCAATGTGGTAAAGACCTTATACCTGCCATATAACGGGATGGGCCTTCAGTGTAAATGGCAGCTCCTCACTAAGTACTTGAAATGAAGCCTATCGGTTGGCAAACACCACTCATATGCACAGAATTCACGTTCT